CGGTTTTTTCCCCAAATGTTCAAATTTTTTTTATACCCAGTAGGCTTGGTANTATGCCCTTTGAATTTAAACGAATTCAATTCCCGCTTCGTCTTGCCTTCGCCATGACGATCAACAAGTCACAGGGCCAATCTTTGACTATTTGTGGCCTCAATCTAGAAAATGCGTGTTTTTCTCATGGTCAATTGTACGTGGCATGCTCACGTGTTGGCAAACGATCCGCATTATTTGTTCTTGCACCCGACCAAAAAACGAAGAATGTCGTTTACAACAAGGTGCTTGAATGAAAATCCGATTAATAAATTTATCAGTGTATCCCAGCCTGAACAACATAGCTTTCAWYAATTKTTTACCTAGAWATAATATAGAGGGCAATGCAACGTTTGCCGGGCCAGCTAGTATGTTTATATATCGATAATCTCGAGTATATCGCATATGCATAAATGAAAGAGCATGCCAAAATCCAATTAACGACAGTCAAATGCCAATTCAAGGTGCACATTGCGTATACGCAACGTTCCAGTGCTGTGAGCTGGTCCATTGCCTGTCGCAGATCGTCGCCTATGAAATAGCTATTGTTCGGTCTAATCCATCCACCTACCCTGCCCCCCTCTCAGCCACCCACCCACCTGGCACGCCATGCAAATGCTGTGGGCAACAGTTTCAATTTTGCCATTCGATTTGTCGCTTTCGCCTCGCTCCTCGGCCATGTGTAACTTAATTAGTTGCATTGTTTGTTGTGCGGGCGAGTTTGGGGACCGATTCACTCATTGATTGGCTTTCGATGCACGGCTGTGTGTGTGTGTGTGTGCGACCGGGCTTTGTATGCTGAGCCGGGTAAGCGGCTTATTTGCAGATCATTATGCGCATTTTGTAGCTGTAATTGACAGCAGCAACAATCGAGGACCCCAAATAGCCAAACCCCCAAACCCCAAAGCCCAAAGCCGAGAGCCCAGAGCCCAGAACCAACGCCAAATAGCGAATGCGTCGCAGTTGCCCGCATGGGAGTTTATGGTATCGGTATTGGTTATTAACTTGTTACTGCTTCTAATTAGACATAAATCAAATGTGTGCATGTATGTGTTTCCATTTGCGTGTGTGTGTGTGTGTGTATGTGTGTAATATAATAAATGGCCAGCGCAGTCCTTAGTCGACTCGTAGGATTCGTAGATGGGCCAAAGTTTTTGTGCGTGATTGCAATTTAGATATTGTTGCGCTTATGTGGGAATTATGTTAAAAATTATTTAAGCCGAAATGATTTATATCATAAATGAGCAGAAAGAATAATTGGGGTATATGGAGATTTTATCAAGCTCCTTCTGCACGCTTCTCTCTGCTTCAAGATTTCTTTGTGAACTTTGTCGCCTAACACGATATGAGGGCATGTAAACAGATATTACTATATAAATTTTATTTGAATCTCTTTAAACTAGTTTCAAGCTGCTCCCGGCTATGCTTCTCTATGTTAAATAGTTCCCTAAGACCGTAGCTTCAACTTATTGATAAATGTGGGTCTCTTTCATTTTTCACATTCACGTCTCATAGTACCCTGCCTACACGTTTCGCCAATTGCAGGGTATGCAAATTTAATTTATGCCCGTGTTTGCATCGCAACTAGCCGCTAGATTGTTGCCCAGGTTCATGTTGCATTCCATAAATAGCCCAGAGCCCAGTCGCTCCTGGTGTGTGTAACACGTATCATGCATATATCATAAATATGTATATGCGAGAGACAACTAAGACTGTTGTAGTGGTGAAGTGACTGACTAAGAAATACCTCGTGGAATTAGAAATTTTGCTAAATTTGAAACAAACAAACTCTATTATAAGAATATATAAATATATAATATGTAGGCTTTCACTAGTATAGATATATATGTATATCTATCTAGCTCATCATCTATAGTATATCACAGCTAAAGCACATCTGCTTCCCCTCAGCTCTATTACACACTTTCAACAAAACACCCCACATACCCACCTTAAAATAGCTACAGGGTATTGCGGCTATTCAGCTGCTGCTGGGCCCTTGAGCGTTTGTGCTGCTAAGTCGGTTAGTGGAACGTGATCTTTAGGGCTTAGCCACAAACATTGGTTGGCTTGGCACGCAAGACAAACAGCTCGAGGCGTGCAGCGCCGGCTATATTATTGCAGCAGCAGCTTTTTGTGGAGCCATCAATCAATCAATCGAGCTCTCAGCCAAAAACACTTACACATCTCGACTGACCTAAACAGCGCAATTTTCCATGCGGCTCATCCAAACTGTGTCATTAGTCAATCGACAACAGCAACAACAACAACAATGACAACGACGGGCCCCATCGATATGGTCGATGCCAGCAACAAGTTGCCTCAAATGGATTTTTTTTAAAGGTTTTTTTTTTTGGTTATGTGTGTTTTTTCTACTTTTGTTTATTTTTGTTTTTGTATGTCTCGCATAAAGTTCAATGCTTGAGTTCAATGTCTGGACATATATAGTACATATATACATGGTTTTTTCATCATTTTCTTTTTCACTTTTTTCGTTATAGAAACTTGAAACAAATCATTGAAATTAGTTTAGACTTGAATGGGCTTTCAGGTTTTTTATGACAGCAGCGCAGCCGAAAAGTGAGAGTGCTTGAGTCAAGCGCTACTCGACGCTGAGATACCCTGCAGTCAGTTACAAAGCACTTCATAGCTATAAATATACATGAGACATACTCGTGATCTTGAAAGCAAAAGTATTTTCCAATGCTCAAGCATGATGATTATGTAAAATACTTGAAGAAAACTAATGAAATGCCCATTAATAGTAGAGATCAGAGAGGATTGTAAAATGCAGTACAGTATGTAAAAAGCTATAAATACTTTAAGTCTATCATATTATCTATAAGAACAGAGAACATGATCTATAAAAGTTATTATAAGAATTGAAGCTACGATAAAGTATTGAAGTTGTAAGAAATGAAGTCTATGACATAACTTGAAGAGTATAATTTAAGAGTATAGCAAACTGTAAGAGGTATTTGGCCCATTTATTTCGAAAACATTTCTGCTTCATTCTACTAAAAGTAAGAAAGATCAAAATTAATGAAAAAGTCTAAGTAGAGACAGAGAAATAACAGAGCAAATATGCACAAACAAAGAAGCTTAGGCAAAAGTCTGATTGCTGCAATGCATTTGCTAGCTACTCCGACTAGAAAGAGCACCTCGGTCAGTGCTACGACCTGACTGACTATTATTATCGTCATCATCATTATTACTATTCGTTTTACTACTTTCATTGTTCACTTTATAATTTAAGTTTTCCCATTTCAAAAATTCTTTTCCACTTCTTCGATTTTTGGTCGCTTCGTAACGAATTGAAAATTTCTATTTAAATTTGTAGTGAGCAAGTCATGTCTCATTTCCAATTCAACAGTTATTCTTGGCCATATTATTCTTGGAGTGAATGTAGCCCAATGCACGTGTATGTGTTGGCAACTGTCTGCAGAGGAGAATATTTTCGTGTTTTTGTCGAATCAATATGTTTTTGGGCGTGCATAGATTTTTAATTGAATTCTGTTGTTTCTTATTGTTGTTTGTTTGCTTAACGTGCTGTGGTTGTTGTGGTTGTTGTTGCTGTTGTATTTGGTCGGCTATGACGCATGGCCGACAGTGCCACATGTTGAACGGTAAGTTGGGTGTGTCCGAAGCCCACAATTCAATTCTGCATGCTAAAGTGAATGGCTTCAGCTCATTTGCAATGCATTTTGCAGTTTAATCAGAGCTAAATTCTTTTCAGCTCTGCACTAAATCGAAAGTATGAAAAGAAAGCAACGAATTTAGTGGAAGCACACATACATACGTTGCGTATGTGTTCACAGAGCTTTCATTTGAAAGAGCTCTCGATAATGTATTTAACTATATGGATCACTAAAATAGTTCTTCTCTTTGACGTTAACAAAGACATCTCGCTTGAAAATAAATTTGATACGTTCCAATTACTAAATTATGCACTCTGCTTCACACGAAACTACACGATGTGAAAATCATTCAGCTGGAAGACTGAGCAGCTGAGAGTTCAGAAAAAAATAAGAAAAACAAGCAGAATAGACACACGAACGAAAACCGACAAAATAAAACACTGAACGAACCACGGCTGGGGTTAAGCCTCAGTGATTGAGCAGCAAAAAAGTGATACAGAAGAAAAACAAATAAAGCACAGGAAAAAAACGCAGCAAATTAAAAACGCAGCGAGAAAACATGAAAAGAAAATGCTGGCGAAAATTTTCACTAATTAATAAAAAAAAGAAAAGATTGAACCAAACAAGTGATGAAGAAGCTTAATGTGGGTCAAAAAAGTTGATAAGATAAATATGGAAGCAATTACGGCATTGGTAACCTAATGTCCCGTAATAATTAATCGGACTCTGCAAATGGGCGAAAATAAGTTTTAAGCAAAAGACTTCATTCAAGTATTTGCTAGACTCATAATAATATTCATGTTAATAATGATGAAGGCGAACCTTAGTCTGAAAAAGAGAACGAATATGAGTGCTAATGCTAATGCTAATGACAATGCTTATGTTTATGCTAATGCAAATGCAAATGCAAGTGCTAATGCTAATGCATATACTAGTGCTAACACTAATCCAGCTTATGCTGATGTCAATGTCAATGACAATGACAATGACAATGACAATGACAATGACAATGACAATGACCATGACAATGACACTGACAATGACAATGACAATGACAATGACAATGACAATGACAATGACAATGACTATGACAATGACAATGACAATGACAATGACAATGACAATGACAATGACAATGACAATGACAATGACAATGACAATGACAATGACAATGACTATGACAATGACAATGACAATGACAATGACAATGACAATGACAATGACAATGACAATGACAATGACAATGACAATGACAATGACAATGACAATGACAATGACTATGACTATGACTATGACTATGACAATGATAATGACAATGACAATGACCACGATTTTCATATAATTAGCTGATATACAAGATTATCAAGAATCAATATTAATGCCCCCATCAATCATAGCTGCTTTCGTGATTCTGATTTGCGTCGCTCTGATTAAAACGCTAACGGTACAAAAAAAAACTATTAAAAGTTCTCGAGCCTTCCATACGGGGAGAGAGAGACCCGTAAACTAGACGGCCTCATCTTGCCGTGGATTCTCGCTGGGCTTCTCGGGACTGATGTTGGCCAGCATCTTTTGTGTCTCCTGCGCCAGATTGACCAATGTGCCCAGATCGTTCTCCAAGGTGTCGATGCGTTTCTTCTGTAGCTCAATGACATTGATAAAGCGATCGATTTCCTCGCCGCGCGACAAGGCCAACGCGCGCCAATAGGCCACATCGTCGGTGACATCGACATACTCGACCATCGACTTGGCGTGGGCCAAGCGCTTCTGCAGCATTACCACAATGTGAGCCAAGGTGCGAAACGAGACGCGTGCGCCTTTGCGTTTGGTCTTCTTATTCATATTGTCGCCGATCGGCTCTGGACTCTTTGAACCGATCAGATCTTTACGATGCTCGGACGATTTGCTGTTCATGCTGCTCGTTGCGAATGAGTTGAGATCGAAGTGTCGCGAATGTAAAATTTAGTCTCCGCTTTCGGCTGATATCGTAAAATTTGTACTATTATCAGTATATAGATTTTTTTCTATTCAAAAATTTGTCTTATATCAATATATGTATACAAATATAAATATACATGGCTTGCTCAGCTAAGAAATGAAATAAAATAATACCAAAGTTTCTCTGTTGACTGGCCAATGTCAATTTGTTAATCAAGTCGTAAACTACTTTTTGTTTCATTTGTCTTTAGCTTTGAGTTTGAACATTTTCGCAGCAGTTTTCACTCTTTGGCTACAATTTCCGAGTAGCTTTTATGGCACATTAACAGAGCGCAATCTTGGACATGGCTAATTTCCTTTTCAAGATTCCCCCCCAGTCTATCGCTCACTGAGATCACAGTTTACACTATGCCATTTGCATGCTGATGATGGCAGTTAAATGATACGAAATACTATTTTGTGTAGGCCTGATGATGATGATAGACTTGAAGATACTCTGCACAAAGATTTACAGTATTTTATATATGTTTATTATGCTTCACTCAATATTCATATCTTAAGGGATGAATTAAGAACAAATGAATGAAATAAAATGAATCAAACTTTTAAATCTTATTTTTCCTAAATATTTTAATTAAATAATTTTTAATCCATTAAGTAGAGAAAATATTTCGAGTATACAGTGGATAACTCTATAGAAGAAGGGGCCTTCTGCATGGTTGGATATGAATGAAATGACGTTAACTAATTTCTTGGCATGCAAAATTTGTCAACTTTCTCGGTTTCAAGCCAAGTTTCACGACAGATCACCGGCCTCTAAATCCTCCTCGTCTGGCCGTCTTTTATGAAGGTCGTCGAGGGTATTTCAATATGTGTCGAGTGAATGGGGAGGCGCTTATCCGATTGGGCTGTCAATCAATTGTTTGGCTCTTTGTTGAGCTTTTGGCCAATTTGCATAAGCCACAAATAGGCAGACAGCGAGAAACCCGTTTGGAAAATTTGTTTGGCCAAAAGTGCAAACTGTAAACATGACGGCTAATTTATTGTCTCTGACCAAACAATGCAACTGTTTAATGCGTTTAATGCCACACACTCACACACACGCACACACAGACATCAAGTGGATCAAATAAATAATCGAATAATGTAGATAGTTTTATGCATATCTATATAAATGTGTATATAATATAATCTATGACGAGGCTAGCGCTACGTGTGTGTGTGTGTGTGTGAATCGCAGCAGCTGCAGTTAATTGGCCCGTGAGGTTAATTGAAAAATCTCACAGGCAGACACGGAAAAACCTCTGCATAAACTAACTGAGACACCAGACCACATCTTCTTCTCTCAGCTGCTTTGGCAATGCATCGTTGCGCAACTTGAAATGCATTTGTAGACGAGGCTGAGGCTGAGGCTGAGAGACTGAGGCAGAGGCTGAGACGAGACACAGATGCCAAAATAAATTGCAGTCACAGCAACAATTGCAAATTGCTATCTCTCTCTCTCTCTCTCTCTCTCTCTGTTTTGATGTGTGGCATCTTTGTGGCAAACAAAAGTGTCGAATGCTGCCTAGCTTCCTTGAATTTTTGGCCAAGTAGCTGCAGCTGACGGGTTTAGCCTTCGATTTTTGGCTTTGAGGCGAAGAGGCAACCCGCTTGCGGCTTCCACTCTCGACCTGGCCCCAGCCGAAAACTCAATTAGCCAGCTAAGCTCCTGTGTTGGCCGGCGGCATAAAGCAGCCAAAAACAAAACTTAACCACGTCGAGGTGTTTGCTTTCGGCCAATTCGAAAACTTTGAGCTGAACGTAAACTTAATTTTAATTTTGAGCAAATTATTATTATGTCTTGCACTTGCTGAAGTACCTCAGGTTTTGGACTTGTTAATTGGACTATGTAGTACTTGAGTTGAGTCAGCTTAAAATACAAGATATTCATAACACTGAGGTACAATGATGGTTCGTAATAGAGTTAAAGAGGGTAATGTCAATGTACACAGGGTATATATAAGGTACTTCAAACCAAACCCATAAGTTTATTATTCTCTTGAATGTTTAGATCTCAATTGCAGTGTGAGTAAACAAATAAGCGACTCGCTACTATTTAAGTGTATAAACATTGTATGCGAAATGGAGAAATATTTTTGTAAAATATTGAAACACGCAATGTGTAAGTATCAAAGAATTTAAATAAAGCAAAGGCTAAAATGAAATGAAATTAAATTAAGGCAAGAATGTGCTCACAAATTAACAGAAATAAACAAAATTTTCTGTTTGGAAATTAAATTTTTATCTTTTTGGCGTGTTCATAAATCAAGCAACAACAACAATTCATTGTATTTCGTGAGAATTTATTCAGAGCAACTGGGTTATGCAGAAATTGATATATTTCTCAGTTTCACTAACTTATCTGACTATAAGCAAGCCCAAATAAAATATTTATATTTATATTTAAAAAAAAATAAATGAATAAATAAAATCTCTTAAAAGTCTTGAGGATTTTGTAGAGATTCAGAAATTCTTGCCCAAGTCAAGAGCTAAGTAACTCGCATAATAATTGCTGCAACTCCCAATAACTTTTGCGCTCTGCCACAGAGCTGAGCTCAAATGCAGAGTTTGAGTTATTTAATATGCTAATTGAAGGTTTTGGTGCACAAAGCTCTTAACTCTTGGCTCTTAGGTCTTAACTCTTGGCTGCTGGCTCTTGGCTGGCCAGCAAAGACTTGGCTAATATTTCACAGGGCAGCAATAAATTGCATGTTGCATAAAGAGAAGCAGCAGCAGCAGCAGATGTTGCATGTGTGGCACAATGGGTGCTACGAGTGCGAATGCTGTTAGCTTTGAGTCATGCTGATGCGGCTGCGACTGCCAGTGGCAACAAGATGTTCATAAAATATATTGAAAGTGCTTTGCATAAATTGCGAAAACAAGAGACAATGGATTATTGCCTTTTGAACTTTATGGAGCAGAATTCTCTTTGAGCTCTATCAATTAAGACCAGGCGACGTTTGCTGGCGTCTTTAATGGCTCAAGCGCTCATTAGTTCAAATTCAGTCGAAAAAGGGGTCAGACAATAGTCGAGTCGACTCGCATCGAGTGGCTTGCCTCATGCATAAAAGAATATGCGAATGATGGAGCACAGATGCTGCAGCATCAATATGAACCAAACCGAACTGAACTGAGCTGAACTGAACTGAACTGATGAGCACAGATGAAAGCTGACTGTGCGCTGCGAAGGGCGACAGACGCTCTCCTATGCTCATCCATCAAGCGTTGAACTACAGCTAGAGCTAAAGATACACATGCATGCATAGCTGGATTCATGGACTGGGCCAGTTGATGGATGCATGCCATAACAACAAACAAGCAGAGCAACAACTAAACAACTAAACAACAAAAAAGCGACAAATTTCGCCACACAGACAGAGACAGACAGACAGACCCTGTTACACAGATAGAGATACAAATGTATCTCAAGAGCTGAGAATGACGCATTCTAATTAGACAGTTCTTGCCACAGTCCACTTTATAGCTCGTATTTGTTTGGCCCAACCATTTGATGAGCATATCAATGTCAACAGCAGCCACATGGAACCGCAATCAACACAAGAGATACTCATACATACATTTCTCCATGTTCGCCCCGACTGTGCGTATACGCAATGTGTTTAGCTAGAGCGTTTGTTTGCAATTGCATACCCTGTGAAGCGCACATTGAGGTGTCCTTGTGCGTGAATGGAAGTGAAACAATACACGTGTATGATCATGATCGTTCTGATCAGACGTGATTAGCCTGAGAATCGGGGGGAGATCACGAGTTCTCTTTATCTCCTTAAAAGACTGAAAACCCGTTAATGATTTTCTAATGTTATCATCTGTTATTCTTACTGTTAGTATTACTGTTATTGTTACAGAAAGTCACTTTAGGACATAGTTAATAAAATATATCGATAATTATCGATACATAATATAGTTTAATTATATGGAAATGCAACGTAAAGCAGTTGTAAGAGCTTTTAGTCATCTGATATCTATCCTGACACATGCTCCTAGGAGTCTATGTGCTTCTATACACCCCATATAAATTATATTATTTATATTTAAATAATTAACTAATTTCCTCATTTCCTAACCTTTAACTTTTTCATACATCAATTCAATGCGCTGATTAATCCACAGGGTATTCCCTAGCTACGCATACTCTCAACACAAACGCCGCCCCAAACTCTCCTCCACAGTTAATCCTAAATTATGTTTGACCACCAAAAGCATTATTTATTTCATGAGCTCATTCCGCTGTAATTAGCTTAATAATTCGAATTAGTTTTCGATGCGCGCTGCCTCCGCAGTTTGACCGCAAAAAACGTTTATTATTTCGAGCTGCTTCACACATTATTTAATATTTACAATTTAGTGCTTAATTGAATGGGCTTTTCGAAATTCGGCTGCTTTTAATGAAGCCGAATAGTTGAGGGCAATATTTGACCACAGATTCGATGCGCGTGAAGGCTTTGGCGTGAGATCAAACGGGGCAGTTAGAGAGATAATCAATGAAATAATTTGACGTGTATTTATGTCCAATTATTAAAGGGTGTTGCTTGACTATATTTGTTGCGTTGTCTGTCTGCCTTCATATTATAATCGATAACTATCAATGGAAAACTTGGGTCTTGGATCTCAGCTCTCAAATACTCAATGATTAGTGAGAGTCGAGTTGCTTAGCTTCTGGCAGAGTTTTTGTGATTTCAATGTCAACTTTACTTATAACTATAACTCACATTACGTCAACATTTATCGATCGGTCAATCTTAAGTCTGAGTTCTCATAAGCTCAAACTGAGTGTGAGCTCAGTTGCTTAGACTATGGCTCGTTATATGTAGTTTCTGTCAGCTATCTTTGCGCGATATCGATAATTATCGAAATTGCTTACTGATCTTTTGGTAGATTTTAGCTGTCAGCACTGCTATCTTCTACCTCTAGTAGATGCACAATAGCCTAGCCAAAGACTCTATGTGTATCCAGCTGTATTTCTGTAGATCAACTGTATACACTTAATAGCCGATAGATATCCGTTAGTAACCCGAGTCTATGCTAGTAATACAGCCTTTTT